AACAGCTATGATTTAATAAAAGAATCTGTAAAATGATTATAATACCATATTTACTAAATATAAATTTCCATTATAGAATTTAGTTTCATAAACCACATAATCAAGATTTTGTTTTCTATAAAACAAAAATGTCTACTAAAGGAAAATACTCACTGTGTTCCCTTAATAATCAGCTCTGACTTTGGCAAAGTAAAGAGCACTATAGTAAAATTATTTTCATTGAAATTTCAGTTTCATCACTGACATATTTTAATGAAAATATTCATACAAAAAATGAAAAACATACTCTAGTATTGTAAGCCTTGAAAGAAATTTTATAGGGTAAAACTCAAGGATTACTCCTAATATTTACAAAGAAACTTTGCTACATTAATCAGTATATATAATTACTTAATTAAAATCTTTAAATTGCAATTATTCTGCTTAGACTAGTACATGTATATAGACTGTATTAGAAAATAGAATCACACTTCTATAGTCTTACAAAATAATTGATTAATCAGCCCTATTTAACACAGGCACTTTTCTTTTCTTTTAACATTTTTATGTGAAAGCATTTTAAGAGGACTTTTGAAAGAAAGAATAAAATTTGGTAGGAAAGACTCCATCAAAAACTCTTAAGACCTGTAGCATTTCTATACATCAATAATAACAAACTGAGACTAAATCAAGAAGGCAATCCCATTTACAATGACTACAAAAAAATGCCTAGGAATATATTTATAAGAAGGTGAAAGATCACTACAGGTGAAACTACAAAACATTGATGAAAGACATTCCAGATGACACAAATAAATGCACAGCACACAATGCAGATGGGTTAGAACAACTGCTAAAATTACTACACTGCCTGAAGCAATCTATAGAATCAGCACTATCCCTACAAAATCCTAGTGTCATTTTTCACAGAATTAGAAAAATTAATCATCTTAAAATTCATATGGAATTAGAAAAGAACTCAAATATATTCTAAAAAGAAAAAAATTCCCAAAACAAGAAACAAAGCAGGTGGCATTACATTACCCGACATCAAATTATACCCAGTGAACAGAAAAGCTGCAGAATGGAAGAAAATATTTTCAAACTATGCAAACAGGAAATTCATATCCAGAGTTTACAAAGAACACAACAACAATAATAACATCATTTAAAAGTGAGCAAAGGACAGGCATAGACATTTTTCAAAAGACATGGAGATGGCCAAGAATCTGAAAAAATGCTCAACATCACTAATCTTCAGGGATATGCAAATTAAGACCACAAGGAGATATCATCTTATGCTAGTCAGAATGGTCATCATTAGAATGACAAAAAATGACTGATTAGGCAAGAATTCGGAGGAAAGGAATGATTATGTATTGTTGGTGAGTTTGTCCATTAGTAAAACCCCTACGGAAAAGAGTAGGGAGATTTCACAAAGAACTAAAAACAGAACTACTGTTCAATTCAGCAATGCCACTAGGTTATCAACCCAAAGGAAAATAAATTGCTATATTAAAAAGATACCTGCATGTGTATGCATAT